TTTTCGCATTTGATTACTTTTTAGGAGATATTTAGAATGTATCTCCAAAACCATCATAATCTAATTTTTTTCAATATCTTCATTATTTTTAAAGACTTAAATAAACATTCTAAATTTTCTTAAAATTTTTTAATAAATAAATAATTTGAAAAATTAAAAATGGGCTGTTAATTCACGCATATACAATTATTTTATAATCCCTCAAAATATTATTCAAAAAAAAATCTATAAGCCCCATGCCACGAGGGTATAAGTATAAAGCGAGAGAGGGAGCAACATTTTCAAACCGCCCATGGCTGACCAAAAACCACCGACCCCATGCAACCTTTAAACCGAAAAACAAACCCTTGACTCTATCAGAGTCAATCCCTCCCCCCATTTTTTCTTACACCGTCGACATATCCATCTGTACATAACCTTCCCTTCCTCTCTTCTTTCTCTGCAATAATCCGGCTGAAGAAGAAGATTTTCTGATCTCTCAAACTCTCTCTCTTCATGCACTGAAACTGACGGCGAAGAAGATCGATCCGAAAATTCTGTCATCCGCTACTTAGTTCAAGCATTAATACTCTGGTTTCTGATATGGGGAATGCGATTGTGACCCCTTGTTTTGTGCAGCAAAACCCTACTTCATCGTCATCGTCATCGTCATCAATAAAACTTGTCTTCAACGACGGCCCGGCGAGGTTCCTCAGAGGGAAACACGTGCCGGCGAGATCATGTTCGAGTTCCCGGACAAGATGGTGTGCCACGCCGACTCCTTCTTCATGGGCATGCCCGTCCCGGCGTTAGCCCTAGACGACGAGCTCATGCCGGGCGAACCTACTTCGTTCTTTCTTCCCATAGATGGCTTCGCATGTAAGGTCCTCTCGCCGTCGTGGCTCGCAGCCCTAGGTCATCGTCGTCTTCATCATCATGCCCTAGTAACAAAACCAGTAAGTCGTCGTCATCGCCATGTCCGATCAAGTTTGGAGAGAACCCTAGTCCTTTTGAGTGCATAAAGGGCTCAAATGGGAGAGCTCTTATAAAGGTGAAGCCTGAGTTCATCACACAAGGCTTATGAACGGACATGATGACGACGGCAGAGAAACTGATCATGGTAATGGTAATAGTGACGATAGTAATTATAGCTTTCTGTGTAGTACTCCTGAGTTGAAGAAGCACTATGATCAGCTTGTGAAGTCCAAGGACCAGGTTTGGTCACCTAAGCTTGAGACCATTTCGGAATATAAGGTTAGGCTTTCGCCTTGCAGATTCTTGGGCTTACAATGGAAAGAAAAAGAGAAAAATGTATGTTAATTAATGTTCAGAAGAGTAGAGATATATCCATGGATGATCATTTTTTTTTTTCCGGGAAGAATTGTGCAATGATAGATCAAATGATCTCGTCTCGTGAAGTGCTGATTAATTTCAATTTTTTCCTTTCCTGTTCATAAGAAGTTTTGGAATCAATATGATATGATCATTGATGATGTGATGAGTGGCCACTCATTTTCTTAATCTAATTATGTAATAGAAGATAGAGAGATGAGACTATATATATATATCCCCAATTCTTGGCCATGATCCATTTATGGTGTAGTTCACCGATTCATCTGATACAATAATAACGTGTCAATATATAGTTTTCCCCCTCCTTGTTCATTATAGTCTTGTACTACCTCTGGTCCAGAATGTTAAAAAGGTCAGTTGGGTATCATATAGAACTCATAAATACAAAAAATTAACATTATTCTGCCCATAAACAAATATTCATATTTTCATATCGTCACGTCATGTTGCTGACAAATCTGCAGTTACAATAATACTAAGAAAAATTACAGCAATGGTAAGCCAAATAACAAAAAACCAAAAGTGTTTTTGATAGCAACTAGTTTTTGTAGTATCAGTGATAAGTGCACATCAACATAATCTATCCACTTAATGTTTCTTTGTCACCAACATTTGTAGATCATCATATGAACATAGTACCCAAACAATATCTATCTATTAATAGTCAATAATCTATAAACTGTAATCTTGAAAAGAGAAGAAATTTAGTTTGCTCAAGGGAGCTTCATCTTCAACTTGTAAAACCCAAATAATATCTTCCAACTCTGGCATTCAGAGAGGGATTTGAAGTAGAGGAAATGGTTTGTAGCGGTGTTGCCGGAGGATTTGATGAAGTTTGAAGGGGAGGAGGCAACAACAAAGAGGGAGGTGGCGACAGTGAAGAGAGAGAGAGGAGAAAGTAGAGAGGATTTAGCCATCGTGGTGAATGGTGATGAGGAAATGAAAGACAATGCAAAGAAGATACGAGAAGGAAGGTTTAGTTTATAGAGAGATGAGGTAGGGATGAGAAAAGGGTTTTGAGGGGAAGGAAAAGGAAGAGGAAGGAGAGGATAAGGAAAGAGAAGGAGGAAGAGAGGGATTGGAAGAGAAGAATAAAAGAGGAGAAAGAAAAAGAAAGAAAGAGCATTTTGGTCTTTTAACTAACACTTCATAATCTATATTGAAGACCTGGTCTCTAATAGTAATTTTATTAATTTAAGAACCCATATTGCAATTTCATAATTTTAGTAGGTTCTTTATTTGTGATTTTCTCCAATAATAATTTTAGATATCGAAATGTTTTTGTATACATACATATATATTTTATATAGATAAATATGGCAACTCGTCATGATCGTAAGTAGCGTTTTGTGAAAATAGTTCTAGCCACAAACTTGAGTCTGACCTGCTTATTCACTAAACGTGTTAGATTATGCTATAAGTTTTTCATATGTAGACTGTTTAGCCCATTTTCAACCTCTTACATCCCATTCTCGGAAATGCCAAAATTCAAAGCAAGTTTATTAATAAATTTGTACTTTGTTTCTTCTTTTTGGTTATGAGATTTGACCATTGATTTATGTAATACCCAAATACATGTCATGATGTTATTCCCAAATTTAGAAAAGTAGAAAAATGGAAACAAAAGCTGGTTTTAATTAGGTTCGAAGATATTATATATATTATATATATATATAAAGCAAGATCAAAGCTTAAAGCTTTTATAATTTCTCTTAAGGGAATTAAACATAGATGGTTAAAGGATCAAGTGTTACCCAACATGTGCGTGTGTGGATGAGCTGTGCTTTAGTAGATAGAGGTGCGTGACTGCCTGTGTGGATGAGCTGTGCTTTAGTAGACAGAGGCTCCGGTCCCCGTGGATAACATCGATCCTATATTTTATAGTAATTAATATTGATTGATACTTGTGATTTATATTTGTCCAAGTATAAATAAAATATTATATATATAATACATTTAGAAATAATAAAATAAAGATCCAGATAAAAAATTAAGACCTCTTTGTTTTAAACTTGAAAAAAGTGATTTTCGTGTTATTTTTGAATTTATCAGGAGCAATTTATTTCTTTTTTTCGCATTTGATTACTTTTTAGGAGATATTTAGAATGTATCTCCAAAACCATCATAAATCTATTTTTTTCAATACTTTCATTATTTTTAAACACTTAAATAAACATTCTAAAATTTCTTAAAATTTTTTTAATAAATAAATAATTTGAAAAATTAAAACAAATGGGCTGTTAATTTCACGCATATACAATTATATTATAATCCCTCAAAATATTTATTCAAAAAAAAAATCTATAATCCCCATGCCACGAGGGTATAAGTATAACGCGAGAGAGGGAGCAACGTGTTCAAACCGCCACGGCTGACCAAAAACCACCGACCCCATGAAACCTTAAACCGAAAAACAAACCTTGACTTTATCAGAGTCAATCCCTCCCCCCTTTTGTCTCACGGTCGACATTTCCGTCTGTATATAACCTTCCCCTCCTCTCCTCTTTCTCTCTGCAATAATCCAGCTGAAGAAGAAGATTTTCTGATCTTCCAAACTCTCTCTCTCTTCATGCACTGAAACTGACGGCGAAGAAGATCGATCTGAAAATTCTGTCATCCGACTACTTAGTTCAAGCATTAGTACTCTGGTTTCTGACATGGGGAATGCGATTGTGACCCCTTGTTTTGTGCAGCAAAACCCTACTTCATCGTCGTCGTCATCAATAAAACTTGTCTTCAACGACGGCCCGGCGAGATTCCTGAGAGGGAAACACGTCGCCGGCGAGATCATGTTCGAGTTCCCGGAAATGATGGCGTGCCACGCCGACTCCTTCTTCATGGGCATGCCCGTCCCGGCGTTAGCCCTAGACGACGAGCTCATGCCGGGCCAAACCTACTTCATTCTTCCCATAGATGGCTTCGCATGTAAGGTCCTCTCGCCGTCGTGGCTCGCAGCCCTAGGGTCATCGTCGTCTTCATCATCATGCCCTAGTAACAAAACCAGTAAGTCGTCGTCATCGCCATGTCCGATCAAGTTTGGAGAGAACCCTAGTCCTTTTGACTACATAAAGGGCTCGAATGGGAGAGCTCTTATAAAGGTGAAGCCAGCGTTCATCACAAGGCTTATGAACGGACGTAATGACGACGACAGAGAAACTGATCATGGTAATGGTAATAGTGACGATAGTAATTATAGCTTTCTGTGTAGTACTCCTGAGTTGAAGAAGCATTATGATCAGCTTGTGAAGTCGAAGGATCAGGTTTGGTCTCCTAAGCTTGAGACCATTTCGGAGCATAAGGTCAGGTCTTCGCCTTGCAGATTCCTGGGCTTACAATGGAAAGAAAAAGAGAAAAATGTATGTTAATTAATGTTCAGAAGAGTAGAGATATATCCATGGATGATCATTTTTTTCCGGGAAGAATTGTACAATGATAGATCAAATGATCTCGTCTCGTGAAGTGCTGATTAAGTTCAATTTTTTCCTTTCCTTGTTCATAAGAGGTTTTGGAATCAATATGATATGATGCTTCATGACTGGCCACTAATTTTCTTTGATTGTGTAATAGAAGATAGAGAGATGAGACCATACATATATAAATGCACATATCCCCAATTCTTGGCCATGATCCATTTATGGTATAGTTCACCGATTCATCGGATACAATAATGTGTCAATATATAGTTTTCCCCCTCCTTGTTCATATATACTACCTCCGGTCCTTAATATAAGACCCCGTTTGATTTTTATTTTGGTCCTAAATATAAGACCCCAATTCACTTTGTCTCTCATATTTATATATTTTTTTTCCAAAATAGCCCTTCTAATAATGATAGTTATAGTCAATACACTTGATTAGTAAGGATATTTTAGAAAGGACAACACCTATTTAGGACAAATAACTAACTCAACTTATTTCCTTAATCTCCTCAAATTAGTCAACTGGCTCTTATAATTAGGACCAGAGGTAGTAGTTTTGTACTACCTGTGGTCCAGAAATGTTAAAAAGTTAGTTGGGTATCTGATTTTAATTTGTCCTAAGTGTACTATCCCAATTCATTTTATCCTCTAAACTTATATAATTCCCCCACAAATAAAAACTAGCACCTCCTGTCCTTAATATAAAACCTCGTTTGACTTTTATTTTGATCCTAAATATAAGATCTCAATTCACTTTGTCTCTAATATTTTTGCATTTTTTTTCCAAGATAGTATTTCTAATAATGATAGTTCTAACCAATACACTTAATTAGCAAAGATATTTTAGGAAAGATAACACCTATTTATTACAAATACTAACTTAACTCATTTTTTAATCTCTTCAAATTAGTCAACTAGTTCTTATAATTAGAACCGGAGGTAGTATTTCTTATTTGTTACATATATTAAAGAGAGTTTTCATCAATGGGATATAATTTCAGCATAAATTATTAAAGCAGTATTTATTTTAGGAAAATTATCACACTAATAACTAACTTCTAATTTTTTTAATCCCTATAATTTACTTACCAAATTCCTAAATTTAGGATCAGAGAAGACGTTGTGATTGTGTGTATTATCTCACACCCCTCAAATATAGAGATATATTCATATGGATTAGAAGAGAGAGGGAGGGAGACATCTCAGCAACCGATACAATTATTGTGTGGATTAGGTTATTTGGTGTAATCAGTCATTACTTAAGTATTCTACTACAAGGTTTTGTATTTGAATTTTCCTTCACATTCTCTTAATTAATTAATTTTTCTGAGGATGAAACTTTAAAAGCATGAAAATTTGACAGAAAGCAAGCATGTGCAATTTGCGCAGAACTACTTATTTGAGTTTTCGAAATTGAAAGTGATAGCAATGGGTTTAATTGGATTCTATAAATTAGAAGGAATCAAATATTGTATTGATCAGAATTGACAAATCTGAATTATATATATTCATACTTAGCTTCTAAGAAAGCTCAAAGTGGTTTAGTTCATTACTAAATCCATGTAATTAGGTAGAAATAATAATAATGGGTCTTCCCCGGAACTCACTACTGCATCCATCTCTCTCAAATTACATTTAATAAATAATTAGAAAGAATCCAAATTACTCAGATATTATGCTTAAAAAAACAAGTCAACTCCAGTCATACAAGGGAAAATAATCTCATGAATCATGATTCATCCTTCTAGAGGCTTAATTAGTTAATAAAAAAAATGAAATGAAGAAACATATTGCTTGTTGCCACTTCTTTTGTTTTTTTTTTAATACAAAAAAGGTTTAGATGAGTTCGGTCTAGAGGCTCATCAGGATCAAGACATGCTGTTAAGTTCAAAAAACGCTTATAGAGATACTCACATATCGCCCAATGATAAGATTTTCACATCGGCAACAGCTGTTATCACTCTAAGAAAAGAGAAAATTGGGGGGGGGGGGGCTATAGAAATTGTACAATTACTAATCAGACATTTTGTCAAAAATTTATTGTCACTTGTTATTCAAATTCTATAATGACTCCTGATTTGTGATTTAGTAATTTTTACGTTTTTGTTGTGATTTTACCAAAATAAAATGTGTGCCTGTTTTATCCAAGCCTTACGCGAACCCTTTCACGTTAATTAATTGTTACATTAACCGCCCTTCTTTTCTGCCGACCAAGGCACCCATAGCAGGCATGCATTGGGCCTCCATAGAACTTTAAGCAAACTAGGCCATCCTGATTTATGTCTGGATCAGCCCAATCCACATAGTAGGTCCCCTAGCAATAAACTCTTGGGCCTTTTTTAAACCTGAATGTGGGCCAGCACATCATTCGTCCAATAGATCTGGGCTGAGGTCTGCAAAAAAATAATAATAAAGAATACATATTTATTTACTGGGTTTTTTGGGAGTATTTTTTAATTAATATTTTATGATTTCTGATTTCTGATTTTAACCCAAAATCCCCTATGCTTCTTCGAACTTCAGTCTAATCCGCGCCGTCTCCGGCTTGCACGTTACGTACCCGTTGTTATCGTCGGCGTTGGTGCATCTCCAGGTGCCGTCGCATCGCTCTTCCATCTCACCGTCGCACCGCTTTCAGCCTTTTATCTATTCTTCGGCTACTATTGATCTTCCATACTATAAAACTGTCGCCAATGGGGGTGGAGGCGCCAAATACAGCTCAGAGTACTGCACCTGAACTGACGGAGGAGCATGTGGATGCCTTGCTTGAGGTGAGCTACTGTTCGCCGATCAGTTACTTCCTTTTTGCCTGGCTCATGCCTTCTTCATTCTTAAAACCAAGAATTCCTTTTTCTTCATTGTTTAATATGCTTATGTTACGACATATTTTAATTTATCGGCAATGAATGTAAAAATCTGAACTTCTGTTTATTTAATAGGCTGCGCGATATGATGATATGGATGATCTTGTGAGCCTGGCATCTATTGGTGTTCCTCTTGATTCCAAGGATTCACAAGGACGAACAGGTCAGTAACTATTTCTGGGTGGTACTCCATGTGAATTATTTTTAAGAAAACTGAGCAAGTATTAAGTGCGCGAAATTGAAATTCTGAAGAGATGGAGGTAATTTTGCCGTGGTAATTTTGAAAGCTGGCAACTGATGAGGCCACGGAGCAAGCATGGAAAGTGTCCGTGCCTTAGGAACAGGGGTGCATATTTTCGGTTATACTTGAAACATTGATTTTACAAATTGAAAATCAATTAGCAGAAGGAGAATTTTATTAGCACATGGGAAAAAGGAAAATAGCATCTTTGGAGGACAAGATAATAACAATTATTGGAAATGGAATAAAAATGCTCACACTGGTTGAACTTTTGCTTGTGTTTCTGACCTTGCCTTCCTTAATGTTTGAATTCAGCTCTTCACATGGCTGCTGCTAATGGACATCTTGACATTGTAGACTACTTAATCAGCAGAGGTGTGGTAAGAAATCTTTTCCCCACAAATACATATCTTCTTTTTGAAAATTTTAGTTTTGAATATGCCATTAACTGATTGCTAAAATTTGAGAGGCTTTTACTTAATTTGTTGATCCTGTTAACATGTCATCTTTGTGATCATTACCATGTTCATGGGATGATTCCATGATGTATCGTTATGTTATATATAGCTTCATCTGATGATAAAGAAACACCAATGGCTGTAGCTATTGGCTCCTAATGCATGTGTACTTCCTCCTTAGTTTCATACGATGCATTGATGTACGAATACTGTTGTTGGAAAAATTTTAAAGCTCGTCTTATAGACTATTCTTTTAAAAACACTCTATCACCTTATCATCCTACTCATTTGTCTATTAATGTGGGAAAACATTGAGGTTTCGTTTGGTACAAAACATTGAAAATGAGGGATAGAGACTAAAATTGTAATTGAAAAAATCATTAAAAAAGTATTTAGCTTGACTAATTATTTATTACATAGGATTAAGCAAACCCATTGAGGTGGGATTGGAGAATACCACCTCCCACTATGGCATTCTCGAATCCCATATATATGGGTTTGTTTAATTTCACGTAACAAAAAATCTCTCATGCTAAATATTCTTTTAGTACGTTTTTTCAATCCCAATCCCAATTGCCACCCCTCATTTTTAATACTTCATACCAATCGGGATCCAAATGTTCAGTTGGGTTACAGTAGAGAATCCATCTGTTACTTATCTAATGGTTATTCTATTTGAACACGTTTGGCACTTTGCTGCAGAGTTTATGTGGATAAGTTATCAATATTGCTTGAAATATGATGCGTATGACTAATTTGATGATGAGAAAAATAACTATTTTATTGTGGTGGGTGGAAATCGGATGTGCTCTAACCTATCATGTTTAAGTAGTTTCTGGAATTACTTAGCTGTCCCTTTTGATCTGTATTGGTTCTGCAAAGCTTGTCCAAGGTAAGACTATAGTTTCCATTTTGGAATTCGATAGAAACTAGAGCAACCCCTGATCAATGCATGCAGATTTGAAAACTTTCTTTCAAATGCCATAAAATGGGTTGGAAGGGGGCAAAATTGCCAAAAGTTTAGAAAATTTAACGTACACATTAACATAACATGGTAGTAGATTTTACTTTTAGAGTATATGTTGATATTGATGCGTAGTTTATTACTGTTACTTATTCATGCATGAGATTGCGCTAGTATATAATAATTTTGGAGTCTAGACGCCAAACCAGCGGTTGGAAAGTAATCAAGCCCTGCATTTACAATTACACAACTGACAGTGTCTTGTTTTATAAGGACTTGAGCTAAAGACAGTTTGAGTTGGGTTGACCTTTGACTGGAGTAGTCGATTTTTTATTTCCTAGAAAACTCAGTAGAGGGCTAGAAGCGTAACATGTTAGAATTTTTTTTGCTGCTACTCGTATCATTTCATTACTTACAAGCTAACCTCATGAAGTTGTGGTATCTTTCCACTTAATTATGATTTGCAACTAAACTTTTTGTTGACATATATTTGGGTCCTTATACTGCATACCTACTATTTCTTATTTTTATATTTTATTACGCCCATGAGTTCCATTATATTTGGGCAAGGATTATTTACTGGTAATTGTAATGGGTAGAATATGGCGTCTAAGGTTATGAAGCTTGCATTAACAGGATGTTAATTCATCAAATGAAGAGAAGAATACACCACTTCATTGGGCTTGTCTCAATGGACATGTTGAGGTAGTTACCATTTTAGATCATCCGTATTGATTTCACTTCTCAAAGTCTTGTTAACAAGAAAATCTCTTCAGGTGGTGAAGAAATTGATATTGTCAGGTGCTAATGTTGGTGTTTTAAATAGGTATGTCACATTCCAACTTGGAACTCTGAAGTTTTTTAAATCAAGTTTAAACTTTAAATCATTTCACTGGCCCTTTTGTGTGTAATATCTATTATATCCTTATAACCGTTAGGAGTTAATATAATTTTTGATCCCCCAAATTTGTCCTTATTTTAGTTTTAGTCTTTCAAGTTTCAAACCGTAGGTTTGGGTCCTTCAGAGAGCAAAATACTCTAAGTTTTTTTTTTATTATAGGGACCAATGTTTCAAATAAAAAGAAACTTGAGGGACCAAAACCTGTGATTTAAAACTTGATGGACCAAAACCAAAATGAAGACAAACTTGAAGGGTTTAAGTTTTTATTAACCCTAACTATTAATCAACAGTACCCCAAGGGGCCAACTTTTCCCCCCAAACTAGGAGCATAACAGATTAAAAGTCATTTTTCATTCTCAATTATTTTTTCCTTTTCTGTTTTGTTTTTTATTTCTTTCCACTAGCCATAAATGAGTGATCAAGTTAACAATATTATTGTTCAGTTATGAGCGAACGCCAATGGATGAAGCAGTGAGTAGGGGAAAGCTACAGGTGATGGATGCTATTAACGAAGCTGTAACACAAGTTGAACTCACTGGAGCCAGGGTTTCCGCATAAGAAACTTGTTTGCTGAACAATCTTTTTTCCTTTGTTAGACGACTAATCTTGAAACCTTTTGTATTATAATTAGCTTGTTTTGAAATCTTTAATTTTATGATGTTTACGTGTCTACTCCTTTGTTGCTTACACCTCGTGCGATGATGCTTATAATCTTGCATCAGGGCTTCGTTAAAAGGAATTATTTTTTGTCCAAAAAAAAAAAACAGAGAATAAATTTCATGGCTTCAAAATTATCAGGAACTGATTTCAGAAACGTGCATTGTCAAATGTTTTAAAGCAGAGCAATAGGTTATGTAAAGGTTGAGTTTGTGCAGCATATGTTTGGTTTTTTCATTTTATGGCTAACAATGTAAAAGCAAACATATATGTAAATCGTACAGTAAAGAAGGGGATGAACAATGCTCCAAAAAAGGTCGAGCTTGGCAGATCCAATTACTTATGGACGAATGGATCAGTTTATTGTTACAGGCATAAGCAAAACATGTTCTCCAGTTCAAAAACAATAAATAAAACGGGACATGTTTCTAAAAGAACTTGGACTATGCTGACAAAAGTTATGGAACTTTTGCTTTTGATTTCTCAAATGCTCTCTTTAGCCTCAAGTGCTGAGGTCAAAATCGGAGGTTACCCGAGATTTATCTCAATTTTTTCTATTTTGAAAAATAATGAGTAAAACATAATCTAAACTTATGGGCATAGGCATTCTTTTTTGTTAAGATGATTGAAAAGGATGGTCTCAGCTTCAAAAACTCTATTTTAATGGTGGAATAGCAGAACAAGACAAAGTGAAAGAGTTTTAGTGGAGGACAAGCAGTCGAGCAGCATCTCTGCTACATAAAAGAAATGCACTCATAGAGGTATTTGATTATTGAGAATCAAGTGTTAGCTTTTGGAGGGCATGTGCATCAGTTCTCAAATGCTAATACATACTAGGTTTTAATCTAATGGGTTTGATTAGGACCTGTCTAAAAGTCTCTGTTCTTGTCATGTTAGTTTAATGATTGACTTTGTGTTTAACGTTAATCAGTACCTGTGCCCACACTAAAACATAGCATGATATTGGGTCTATAAAACATTGCAATTTTAGTAGAAAGAACTCACGTTCGTGATAGCCATAGTGGTAGAATGAGCTGTAGAACCATCATAAAAGAATCGAATCCACAACTTCATACATTAACTACTCATTTGGATTGACTTAGTGCTTGTTTGGTATCACTTATATGAACACTTATAAGTATGTTTTATGTAAGTCGAAACAATTTTTTTGACATATTTATTTCGTATTTTATAAATTACGATTGAAAAACTAGTTTTAAACCATTCCAAATGGACCCTTATTTAAGTGTGAGTGGAGACAAAACACATCTCATATTACTTATATAAACACTTATAAATATGTTTTATGTAAGTCGAAATAATTTTTTTTTTTTATGATTGAAAGGCTGCTTTTAAGCTATTCTATTTAAGTGTGAGTAGAGACAAAACACCTCTCATATGTTTACTTTATATTTTGTGAATTTTGATTAAAAAGCTGGCCCATTAAGGGAGATTCTTGGTGGTCACCATAAATTTGAAACCACTCATAGTAAAGTGTCGGTTTCAGGTTTGCTCCACAACTGAGGCGAATTGCGCTATTTATTGTTGATAAATAATGTAAAATTTTTTAGTAAATATTTGA